AAATGGTGCTGCACCATAATTATTGTTTCAATCACTGGAAGAGGAAATGAATATGCATGCTAAGAGGAAAAGCATAACTAATGTATGTAAAATGTTTGTTCATTAAATCTAATGAATCTCCCTGTATAAAGAGCACACTGAGAAGTACCACAGCTAAAACACTGGTGACTGAAATCACTTATGTGTGGGACTCCATGTTGTACCCTGCAAAGTCATCTCTAAAGTGTCTCTAGCTCCTAGGGCTAAACCGTAGTGCTAAGAGAGACCTTTAATTTATTTATGAACATGACCCAGTGCACATGTCCCAACCCACGACTCTCCTGCGGTGCAGGTAACACACCCCAGCATTTGCCCTCAGTTCAGTCTCTGGGGACCCACACAGGGTAACAGTGTGGGGCTGCAGGTGTCATTTTGGTGCTAACAGGAGGAAGAGGAGGTAGAAATTCACCTTTGCAGGAGATGCAGGCACTTTGCTCCTTACCACTGGAATGAAATGTATTAATTGCATAGCTGGAAAGGCTGTGTGCACCGAGGAAGGTGACAAACCAATGTGTTATTCTAAAATGGCCAATATATCACAATTTCAGGCAACGGCCTCTCACGTGAGCTTTTTGACTCAGTGACGCACACATACACAGCATTATCTTATTTTCTTTCAGAACAATTAAAAGATAATAAATACATGACATATAAGCCAAATTCTAGCCATGTTTGCTCTTAGCTGTCATGAATTTCTTGGCTCACTGTTGAGAAGATCTGTGAGGTTGAGGCTGCAAGTGCAAAGCAGCGTGGTGTTGAGTCATTCCTCATAGTCAATTATTAATCATGTCAGAGAGATCTTGCGGCTGCAATGACCAGGCTGCTTCCCTCTACAAGCGTTCAGGGATTCTTAGTCCTTTCATGCTGTCATTTAATGCCACAGAAATTGGAGGGGGAGAGAGAGGAAATGCTCCCACTATTTTCTGAAAATATCAACTGAGTAATTATCAGATATAAAAATCTCTATTAATATATCAAAGTCACTTTTTCAAGTTCTTCACTGTCTCTCCTGTGCTTCAGCAGCCATTCAACTCCAGATGCTGCTCAGCATTTGGCTTTCACAATCAGAAAGCGATGCACGAAGATAAACCCAGACTCCCTCCTACGCATGCAACCAGACACAAAAATTGCAGAACCAGGACGCCATCCTAGGAATCCCATAAAAGCTTCTGTTTTCCGTATTATGGTTGAGAGAGCCTTTGATTCTTCACACTTTCCCCTAATGTTGGCTTTTAACCATTGTACAGAAGTCAGTGGATGCAAAGTGTCCTACATTGATGAGCCGCCTTCTACTCTGGAGTGAAAGTCACCTTCGCAAGCAATGAAGCTCACCTGAGAAATCTCAAATCTCTCCCAGCAATTTGGTGCCTGTAGCCTCTGAAAAATCAGGTTATGGACAGATTATGACCAATGACAACAAGTATTAATTCTGATTATACTGATAGACATGAAGAGGTAAAAAGGCTTTTAAAAGGCCTGGCAAGCATTCAGGAACTTAGCTGGGATATAGCATAAAAAACACTATCATATTCTGCTACTCTAAAAACCCAGAAGGCTCTGAGAAACCAGCTCACAGCAGTTGCAATATTATGGTTTTCTGAACCATTTCTTCCCCTTTAAAGAGATTTTCACTGCAGGAGCAGCTGAGATGGATGTGCATGTTCCTGACCCACAAGGCATAAGGAGTGGTACAGTTGCAGCAATGCAAAAAAAAAGAAGGCACTTACATGCTGATCTATCTAATCCCTTCTACAAAACCATTGTTCTTATTAGATGATGAATGCAAACAAATAAAAACTTCTGTCATTTGTATTTTAAATGAGAAGGCACTTAGAATTTACTCCACCTGGAGAACAGATGCAATGCAGCCTTTCGGTGGTTATGATATTGGTATTCATAAGCAGCTGATTCCAATTAGCAGTTTTAGATAAACAGAATAATGGATATGAGTACAAGTGACACTCTTCCTTTTGTCTGTTTACACAGAAAGCCAGACTTGCTCGAATTCGTGCAGCAAAGAGTGGGAGTGCTAATGCCTACATGCAGAGCAAACGAAATGGCCTACTGAGTAACCAGCTGCAGCAGGTAATGGTTTTATATCCTCCGTCTCCAAAGTAACGGCTTAATGACAGCCCAGCAGCAGCCTATTCTGTTTGTCACCAGGGCAAGTCAAGTTGGGTCTTTAGGCAATGTTATCTTTAGAAGTAGATTAAGGCAGGATAAATTGGACAATTACTATTGTTAAAGGAAGCTTATGAGAGTTGATGACAGGGTATTGGTAGATTAGGGAAATGGCCAAATAGAAATGCTGGATTCACATGTAACCCACATTTTGAGAGTTAGATCCCGTAGAAGGCCTCATTATTAAAGTATAGCATTTGCCTTTTAGGAGGCAGGTTGGATTATCTCATTTGGCTTTAGACAGGTAGAACGTGGGTGACAAAACCAGACTTCATCATCAGTGGGGGAAAGAGGTAGCCCCGGGGTACCATTGTTCCAGAGGGGTGTTGCAGAGTGAAAAGTTCCCTGGAAACACCTACTTTCCTCTAAGGAGAATCTTGGTGATTAGCTCAAATGCATTGAAATCTAATGTTACCTGAAGCAAATACCTTACCCTGCTGAGGAAACCAGGACCAGCTGCGGGAGTCATGGGCAGCAGCTGGGACTGGGATCCACAGCGACTCGCACTGCCGGAGACAGCCCCTTGGCTGCTCAGAGCTGTAGCCAGCTGAGAAAGACTGAAGGCACAGTGTTTCTTAATCCCTGCCATTTTCTGGCATTTAGGCAATTCCCTGAGGGATACAGGAAGGCTTTCATTCCTCTATGCCCTTTCTGTTCAATACGTGTTAAGAAGCCGAACGCTTTAACCTATAGCCAGAAGAGGAGGAAGGGGCTGTCCGTCCGTCCGGTCTAGCACAAAGGACAAGCAGTCAGAGCCCTCGCTTCCTCTCCTGCTTGAAAGAACTCAAATCTTTGAACTAAAAAGACACCAAATGTCTTAATTACCATGCAGATTTCAAATATCCCAAAGTTGAATTGTAGTCTTTCCTATTATCTCACTTCCTCCCCTATTTAGTTTTCTGCTTTCTAGTGAATAATTATGAAAGCAATTAATAAACAGTGGATGCTTTCTACTTAATTCTTCATTCTGTGTCAGTAACATCTGCTATATGCTTTCCATACTCAGCAGATTGGGATCACTGACATGAATTTTTGTGTAAGCAGCAATGCCACAAATTCTTTAGTGCTATGAAATGATCCCAGGAGGACAACTATGTTTAATTTTCTTCAAATGAGACACATTCTCAGGAAAAAAAAATATCTTTTACCGTCACTTAAATTTATGGTAATTTTAAGCATGCGTTGATTCAACATTCAAAGCTTACATGTTGATTGCACTTGTAAATTGTAGTATTCCATCTATCCATAAAAGATCTGAGATAGAAACATTTAAAAAGAAGTGCAAGGGAAGGAAAGAAAATACTTTGATTAAAAAACAAACAAGTGAAAGAGAACTCGGGTCCAAAATAATTTGGGTTATACTGTGTAGATGAAGCATTGCAGTTATGCTACCGTGTACAATCCAGATTAGTTCTGATCAAATATTTGGATAGGAGCCCTCTTGTTCACAAATGAGAATAATACGGAGTTCTATGTACCAACAGTCCTCCAACGAGGAAGAACAGGCCTTTGTTAGCAAATCTGGCTCTTCCTTTGAAACGCAGCACCACCACCTGCTTCACTGCCTGGAAAAAACTACGGTAAGAGAAGAGAACTGTGTTTTCCTGTGAATTCTGACACCAGCTTAGTTTTAGAGTGTTTTCAGTATTTTTTCTAATTAAAAAGCCTTTATATGAAACCAGTTAGCTGGGAAGAAAAGCCATTTTGTCGTATTTTAAGGCATTATACCCACTGCATATAAATAACAGAGAGATCCTGGATGAGAGCCTCATCTAGGATGAAAGAGACTGGCATCAATGAGATGACATTAGTACAGCCAAGCTATATATGTGACCTTCAGCATGGTTTTTATAATGTTATTATCTGCACTTTTCTGTGGTACAGTTCATAAAACACAATTTGTAATCCTTACACATTCAATACTTAGTGCAGTCAAAGCAAGTTTTTTGCTTGAGCCAAAGTTGGGTTTTCATACAGGAAGAGCTGCTGAATGTTTCTTCTGACATCAACACAATTCTCACTGAAGCATCTGTAAAAAAGGATCCCCCAGCATCCTATTTTGAAACATCAAGTGTTTAATCCGGATTCAAGTGCAAAGCTTCAAAGTCTTTTGGCTTCAGTTTAGGCACTGAGGTTGCTGTAGAAATCACTGATATAATTTAAAACAGCACAAATATGCTCATCTACATTTGAAACTCTGTAAATCAAAACGACTACTTACTATGTGTTCTCTACATTTTTCCCTGGTTAGTACCCAAATAATCAAACAGCCATAAAGGATAGTAAACTTGAGCAGAGTTATGATTCAGTCATAACTAAGTGCCATGTTTACTAATAGCATTTTCTGGACAGATAACATCACAGCAACAACCCTAATCATTCCTAATTTTATATTGTTTCCTCTTTTATCATTTCCTAAGGAATCTAAGAACATAAGTATTAATTATATTGAATTTAATCTTTGTAGATTTGGGAATTCCACATAGGGCATGCTAAAATTACCTCTGTGTATGTTTATATTTTTTGGAGGTTATATTTCCATGTAGAATTTACCTACTTTGTAGGTAAGTTGGTCAGCATCCGCTAAATCACCGTTTACAAATTTACATCTAGTTTTATAAGTTCTAGTTGCATGTACAAAATTATCTGATTTCTCTTTTTCAGTTTTGTATACATAGTGGAACTTCATGTTATTTTGTCTTGTCTTTATAATCTAGTTTTAGATGTTCATTAAAAGACCCAGTAATGTTTCTGCTATATTTGATGGAGATCAATGTGAAAGTCGCACTGCTCTTTTCTCTCAAAAAAATTAGATCAAAAAGTTTTCACCCTACAGACATTGCTAAATTAAAATACGATGTGCATATGTGTATAATTTAATATTCTCCTTTCTACAGCATTTCTTTGTAAATAAAATGGCCTTGTTGTTACATCACTTAGTAATATGTCATAGTAATACGTCATCTCACAGGTGCTTATGTCTTCTCCATTCTTACTTTTAAAGTATTCATTTTTATATAATGTGTTTTAGGACAAAATATCTTGCTTCCTGTTCAGAGTATAATGATGTTTCTTTGCCAAGATTCAGTTTGGGTCCTTTTGGAACATACTTGAGACATTTTGTACTGGAACTCTATAATAGCAATCTGTCTTAAAAATTATTCCACAGTGGAACATTACAAACATGTTTAAAAACCCTAGTAGTAGCCACAGGTCTTGTCAAACTCTCATATAAATCATGGGAAAAAATTCTGTTCGTTTGGTGGGAGTTGGATTCGACTCCCAAAGTTTCACATTTCCTCTAGTGATGGTGGATTATGTAAGCCTGTTCTTTTTCTCTTTTTTAAACAGAGATTTAAAAAAAAAAAAAAAAAAAAAAGAAAAGAAAAGAAGGCTGTAAAGCAGATATTACCTTGTTTCCTGAATTTGCATACTATCTACTTTCTTTTTTCTTTGTTTTTTTGGGTCTTGCTTCTGACACTGATGCTTATATGACACAGAAACACAAAAACAGTGTGCAGGGTCTCCAGGTTGTATTCTGCAACTGTCTGGTCAGATCATGCATTCCTAAAATTTTAGTGGAAACTTGAAATTTTGGGCCTTCAGCTTGTGGAATCTGGCAAGCTGCTAGTTCGTGTTAGAAAGGGTGAGGTGCCTTCTTAGCCTCTCATCATCCTTTGAAATATTTTCTCTTTTCTGGCACTTTGAAGTCAATAGGATAAGATCTCTTCCACTCTAAGAAATGCAGTGTGGGCAATGTTATGGAATTCTGTGAAGATTACATTAATAATGGAAATAATTGCACAAAAAGTTATATTTTACAAGCTACTTTTAGCTGATTTAAGAACAGTTAATTAATAAGTAGAATCAAATCTATTAACTTAAGCCATTATATCGTTGAAAAATGTTTCCAGTCTATATTAAAAGTTCACTCAATAACCCTCTTTAATGGACCCTACAAATTGAATTCTTGTTGGTTGCTCCATAGAAGTTTTAGGAAGCACAAAATTACTTTTAATTGGAAAACTAGCAGAGCCCCTAGCAAATACACTGTAAGCCACTGAATGTAATAGATAAAGATAGTGATTAGGTCATTTTTCTCTCTGAATTTTACATCCACTGCGTGTTCACATTCAAAATCTCGATTGTGACATACGCCTTACAGAAGTTAATTTTCAAGTTCTTTCTTCCCATATCACTTAATATTGGCATTCTTCAACACCACTCTAATTATACACAAGTTTATATCTGAGTGAAGAAGAACAGAAAAAATGGAAAGACCAGTAATATGCCTACAAAGGTATGTCCATTTGTCGCAAACGCTTGGCTACAGTTTTTATTCTGTTTACTTTAGTCACATATTTTATATTAGCACTGTACTGTTCCCGTGGAAAACATCAGCACCTTTCCAATTAGTGCACTGTTCTTTAGGGGAAAAATCATTTTTCTCATTCTAACAGACAAAACCGCAACACAACAGGATGAAAACTTGAACAAGCCTGCGTAGAGCATAAAATAACCCAGAACATGCTCTCTACACCATTCTTAGGATATACAGGCTGATTCCAGCAATAACTGGAAAGATTTTTCTTAAAAAGCAGGATTTTTCACACTACGGGTGAACATATCTTAATCTCTGCTTAGTTTGGGCTGCTACTTTTAAATGACTGTGAGAATTCCTTTTTGTTCCCCCATGACTATGAGCAGCACCACTATTTCGCACTCTTCATCACACAAAGAAAATGTGGAAATCACGGCTATATGTCAAATGTTCTCTAATCACCACCTCCAAGGCAACCCTATAAAACTACTGTCTATTCTGGGATTAAGCAAAGATTGCACGAATAAAGACTACTTCATTTAACTAAATACCTAGTCTTCTAAACTGCTTTCAATACATCTGTCTACAGTGATTAGGAACTTTTGGGATGCCTTTAAATAACCATCCCATCATCTCTGATCAAAACTTCGATTTGGTCGAATCTTTTTCTTTTACATAGATGTGTACTTCGAAAAACACTCTAAAAAGATCCTGATTTCTAGCATGTAATTCAAAAGGAAGCTTTAAAAACTCATCTGGAAAATATTTATGAATTGTATTTTGTTATATTTCAATGTAATAAATCTTATATATTTTCAAATGACATTTAGAGCATTTACATAAGCACCACTTGCATTTTTATTAATAAACATAATCCTCTATTTTATGCCACTTCGTAGATTATACAGATATTTATAATGCAAACTATATTACCATCACATGCTATTTCACAAAAGAATTTGGATTAACTTTTTCTTATTTAGAGCTCTCAGCATTTTATTCCAGCGTTTACATTTGTATTGGTATTCAGCCCAGACTAATATGGGCTAAACACTATAATCAAGAATAAGCTGTCTAACTTTCCCAGTTTATTCAGTTGTGTTAATTTAAGCCTTTAAACAATCATGATTAATATGTTCACTTTAATCATCTTTCTGTGCATTCTTTGTCCCTTTGTTGGATTCCTTTGGGCTAGAACCATGAGTTTGTGGATGAGCAAGTCTACGAAGAGAGCTGTATGGAGGTTTCCACAGTCAATAGACCCCCAAGCCACAGCCCCTCTCTCTCGTCTCAACAAGGTGTTACCAGCACTTGCTGCTCACGAAGACATAAAAAGACTTACCGCATCCCAAACACCACCATCACTGGCAGCCGTCCAGGCAGCGTACAAGAGCTCAGCACCATCCAGATCAGATGCGTGGAGAGGACGCCTCTGTCTAACAGGTACTTCACATGCATCAGCACACCAAAAGCTGAAGCCCCTGTCTTTGTTAGAGAAGAGATGTAGAGGTTTTGTGGGCTCTGCAGGTTGGCTGTGAGGCTACAGATGAAAGTCAGTCATCCAAAAATGGACACTAGTACTGAAACATCTTGCGCTTAGCTCACTCCAAGCTTCATTCAAGAGAACAGAATAGTCCCTCTCTATCCATTTCTGCCCTCTCATGCCCTCCCCACAAACTACTGTGTAGTATTTGCAGGGAAAAGCATCCAGGGAGTCAAAATTAATTAGAGCATCAAATATTATATACCTTGGAGAAACACATAACAAGAAAAATTCAGCATAGAATATGTGCAATTCAGATATTCAAGATGAGCAAGTGGGAAGAGAAAGAAAAGTCTATCCCTGCTCTTTCTACTGATTTGGTTCAGAAGCATTGGACAAATGAGACTTCCTTGCATTTCCACAGAGGAGAGAAATAAAACTGATTCCCAGAGTCCTAAGTGCAATAGTCATAAGAAAGACTCTTCTAAATAAAAAATATGAAACGGGTAAGAAAAATGTATATCCTACTTTGAGAAGTCATCGCAAAAGTGAGGAAATTGCAGTTTGAGAGTCTGTAATTTACTGAACATCTCCGTACTCTCACAAGTAAACCGTTTGGCTTTCAGGTGTATCCACACACCACTTCTGAAAACACAGCAAAGGTCTCAGGAGACTCAGAAGTGTTTTCTATTGAACTCAAACAAGCTGACATTTTAAAAAGAAGCATTTTCAGCACTAGTTGCTATAGAAATTGTCTTGTTAAGTTACATTTTGAGTAGCTTGCTTTGTATAGTTAGTAGGTTTGGATTTCACTTCATGAGCAATCCAGCAGCTTGTAGCTACTGAAGTTTTTCAGCTGTTGTGCAATGAGACCTCCTGGTCCGCATAAAGCTCCAAGCTGTCTTAGCTTTTCAGGAAATATTCTGCCTGGATCCATCCTTTCTCTGCTAGAGGAATTTCCTGCAAATTTCCTGTCATAGAGTATGTAAAAACACAAAGCACCATCTTTATGCTAAAAAAAACAACCAACAAGCTAAAAACATGAGCACGAAATGGCAGTCTCACCTCAAAATGGTCTGAGTTTTACAAGTTTCTTATGATGCTGAGGTACTGCAGCAACTCCATGAGCACGTTAACCTTTATTAGTGCATATATCACTGTGTCTTGCTCTTAACGATATATAATATTCGAAATGTTCTTAAATGAGGATGACGTGTAGGAATTGGTAGGAGACTTGAGACTATCCCTTTGTTTCCGCTTTCCTGCATAGTAAGTCATTTGGCTACACGCAAAGTTTGCTCCCCAGGGAGCAGCTTAAATGCTTCCTCTGCTCAGAAACACTTAGGTGGTGGGCTGAGACACTTTTAGAAGTGCTAAAACGGTGGGAAGTAAAGGAGAAAGGAGACCTATCCATGGACATAGCCATGGACTACCTGCTACTGGGGTGCGGGGTGGTGGGATGGTGCCACTTTGCACCTCTGAGGTCTCTGACAGGGCAGGATGGAGACATCTAGCTGAGGGAGTCGAATCAGGCACACGAGAAGTTTGCAATAACATGGACTTTCTTTCTTCATGGGTCTTTGTTTCTTCCTCCAGCCGTTCCAGCTTAAACGCCAAAGTGGAAGAGTGCGTTAAACTAAACTGTGAGCAGCCTTACGTCACTACAGCAATAATTAGCATCCCGACACCTCCAGTCACCACACCCGAAGGAGATGATAGGCCAGAGTCTCCCGAGTACTCGGGAGGAAACATTGTCAGAGTATCTGCTTTATAAAAGAAGGAATTATTTATAAATTAGCATAAAGACCACTTGCAAGCTGAGCTCGAGCAGTGAGAAACGAGTCGCGAGGAACGAGAGAGCTGACAAAGACAACGCCCCTTGATGTGTGCGCCAGCGGCCGCAGAGCGAGAGGTTCGGGAGAAACAAAACGCTTTGTGGGTTTCAGTGTCGTAGCGCGTGAACCGAAAGGAGTTCCATACCCCTTGTCGGAGCTGACGCGCGGTGGAATCTTCTGTGACCATCCCGACTTACTATATGAGCACAATGAAATGTCCCCATTGATGCTTCTTCTTATCATGAGAGCTCTTTTTAGAAAAAAAAAAAAAAAAAAAAAAAAAGAAAAGGTTTTTTTTTCAATGTGCTGAATGCAAAACAACGAGAAACATTTTGATAACGTGTCTTTTTTTTTCCTGTCAATAAACCACAAACTTGTTGAGAAACTATGAAAAAATGAAAGAAAAAAATGCTCATATGAAATATGTTTGTACTGACTGAAAGAACTACAACCACAATGCATGCTGAAATTATTTGGAGCTGTGATCTCAGTTTACTTTTGTTGTTTTTCAGATTAGGCATGATAAAATATTACTGTAGAAAGGGGCATTTCCGTGCACTTACAACAAGCTGATTGTTAATGTTCCATGGTAGTTGTACAAATAACTTCCCTTTGAAAAAGGCAGTATTTCTTACTCAAACACTCATTAGTGAATTACAGGTGTTCAGTTAGTTCAGTATTTACTATTATTTTATCTTGCTTCCTAGGTACTGTTACAACTGCAATAAGTCATTGTATATCTGTTGTATCAGGAATCAGGATTTTTTTTTTTTTAAGGTATTTTACACAACTCATCTACACTATAAACTTCTAACGGCAAACGTTTAAATAATCTTATAGCCAAACCATGCACCACGAATGCGCTATTCAGTCATTGCTCTTTTTGTCCATTGTCCTCTATTTCTATGACAGTTTGTCCACTCCAACATTACGGTACTATTTGGGATTTCAAGGCTACTGATGAATCAACATAGTCCTTTCTTCTGTAGACACCTTATCTACTTCTGTATTTGCAGAACAAACCTCTCATCCCAGTGTACTCTTGCAGGATCCATCCTATTTGAATTAAAATCACAACAAAGGTGTTTTGGGGATCAGCTGACACTTATCTCCAAGCCTTCCTTGTTGCCATTCTACAAGCATCCAGAGTATTTGCTACGCTGGAAGACACCAAAAGACATTCAGTATAAAAGATGGCTAAATTCTTTCTGTAATTATCTGTAAACTTGCATCCTAAAATTTGTTTGAGAGTTTGTATTGTGTGAAGATATTCAATTACCTAAGAACACTGATAGAATAATGGATTGGGACCCAAAGCTACAAAAATTCAATTTATTTCAATTGGAATTTACCCATATGGGCAGTTCTAAAAGCTAGTATGAAGGCTCTTCTAGTTAAGGCTTTTTGGCTTCATTTTTAAAAGACATTTATCCTTTCTGATAAAAAAGTGTCATTTTTCTTCATGAGAGTGCATTAGGAGATGTATCATTAAGCTTCCTGTATACATGACATACCATACATCATATACATCAAATATACATGGAATATGTGCATATCAATACATACATATATACATCAAAAACACTGGATCAGAAATAATTGCATGTCTGCAAAATAAAATATGCATATAAATCAAAAGGCTCAGTGCATTAGATGCCATTACAATAAATGATTAACACAGTTATTTAATAGTTTGAGTAGTGTATGTTTCAGTATAGTATTTGCTAGCATTCTACTGACCTGAAAATTTACGTTAGAACACCCACTAAAAACTGAAACTTGCTGATGATACACTTTTTACTACACACAAATACTGGTCTTTCTACCTGTCAACAGAGACTGAAGAGTAGATGATGGACTATCATGCTACAGTATATACACCAAAGTACAACAATGTCACCTATTAGAATTGAACTGCAGTCAAAAGGAGTACGTAACGTCACGCATTACTCTCTTATCTTATCATTTACTTATTCGGAGGGTTGGTTAATTTGCAATTAACTTCTCACTTTTTCTGCAAATCAGAATAACTTCCTCATTGTAAACTGAGCTTCTACATTTCTTTCAAACCTTAACAGAGAGCAGAAGCACAGGCGGTCGGTCCTCTGACCCGGAGGAGGGCTCCTTCCGAGGAACTCTGCCAAAGACGGTGACCTGACGTTGCTCTCCTCTCTTTTACCTTGTTAGAAAATTCCGGTAGATCTGCTGAAGGTGGTGGGTTACGTAAGTTTTAATGGGGTTTAAAAGAGACCCAGAGTTTTTACTTGCACCCTACTTCTACCCATAGTTACACAAAAAGTGGCTTTTTTTTTTTCACCTTTTGCCGAAGACTTATTGATATAAAAACTGCCTTGATATTAGCAATCTGCAGCAACAACTTCTTTATACCACATGGTACTTCTTGACTAGTTACATGAGGTAAATAATGCAAAAAGGCAGTTACTAAACCCACTTTGGGACAGACTACATACAACGCAGGAAACCTCCTGACTCCATCAGATCATGTGTCTTTTAAAATCTCTTTAATCTCTTTTTCATATGAACTAAAAAGAACACACTACAGCAATACACTTGCATAGCAGTTATACCCCTGAAGCAACTTGTACTTTCATTTTTTAAATGCAGCTTAAGGAATAATTTAGTATGATTTTGCAGAATTCCAGTCCTGTCTCCTATTTCCATATGTCACATGCAAAATCATTAATTTATTCTGAATTTGGGAAATACACATTCTTTTGGTGTTTTAGGTGATTTAAATGCTGTTTTGTTAGTGAATGACTGTTGATGACTGTGTAAAATGCATCTGTACTGTACATGAAATGTAATTATTTCTGTGTATCATACAAAGAAACCGAGGTTGTTGTTTTGATGATTTTGTTCGACAGTCATATATCGTATTTCAGAAGGCAGCATAATACATGCATTATGCTGAAGAAATAGACATTTGAGGAATATTTAAATAAAACATCTGCATGCTTGAATGGGTCAACCTGGTTTGCAATAACTTATTCATGGAACTTTTTTTTCCTAATAAGGTTGAAGGAACACTAAATCCGAGGGCAAAGAATGTCCCCGACATTAATGCCAGGCAAGCCATGAGTGCATCTAAACCGTACCAGAGCCACCAAGACCAGGATGCCACAGCTCCAAAAGACTGAACTGCCCTTCTGCTCTGTGGGTGGCCATCACTTTCCCCTCGCCAGCCTGCAGCAGCAGAGGAAATCAGGGCATTAAATTATTTCCAGCAATATGAACTCCGCTTCTCTCTCTGTACTCTTAAGTATTCACTATGCATTCAATACGTCCAGACACTGACCTCTTCTGAATCTCCCAGGCTACAGAGCCACCCAAACCTGATAGCCCGCTTGATAAAATATTATCATAGAATCATTAAGGTTGGAAAGGACCTCAAAGACCATCAAGTCCAACTGTCAATCCAGTATCACCATGCCCAATAACCACGTCCCGAAGTGCTACATCTACTTGTTTTTTGAACACTTCCAGGCATGGTGACACAGAGGAGACCAAACTCCTTTCGTAGTGTAAGAGCACATTGTGTGTCACTTACGGAGGGCAACTGACAGCTCAGACAGTGCTGATCTATCAGCCGTGTATACCGTAGCGCTGGCGTGCTTGACAGCTGCCTGTGCCAAGAGCTCACTGCTCTGGGCAGGGGAGGTAAAAGTAATCCCTGCCTGTGAACCATCCCAGAGCGTTTTTAAGGAAAACCATTGTCCTCCCATAAAATGGCTACTGGAGACGAACTGGAAGCATACGCTTTACATTTTAAGGTTCTGGATATACTCGCCGTGGAAACACACTGACTGCCGAGAAATGGCTTTCGCAGCCGAGAACACCATGCAATCTCAGCTGCTCCGGGGAGAAAGGTGGCTGTCAGAGAGGAAATTTGTCTGGAGGAGGATACATTAGTGAAATCACAGGATCATAAAGTTTTGGGCAGGGAGGGTGCTTAGGAGGTCATATGCTCTCTCTCCCCTGCATGTGGGGCCCAGCAGGACTTTATCTTCTCATTGACTATGGAAACATCTGAAGACTTTCAGGTGTTCTGGAATAGCAATCAGCTGACAGGATATGTAAATGCGCAGCTGAAAGAGCAGTCCCAAGTGAACAACATATTTAGACTGACAAAGACTGTAAAATATACCTAATTACCTGGACAGCTTAGCTTCTTACCTACTTGCATTATCTATTTGTCTACTCTTAAGGTACCCATTTTCACAGTATCTACGTACAAGAAACAATTGAAGGTGGAGGAGCACTGAATAAAAAGCAAGTAGACGCATAAAAATTCTGAAGTATTTAGAACATCTCATTTTTTTTGAAGAAATGTAGTCAATCATACATGAGTTTTAAAGTTTTAGATACAATCTTGCTTCAATAATAGCAATTCATATGAATTAAACATAATGCTTTTGTGGTAAAAACTTAAAAAACTATCTGAAAATCTCTGTCTCCATCAAATTTAACTGTATCGTTGCTGTGACCAACAGCCTCTCTTTTTACTATTTATTCTTTGTATTTTGCCTTAGATTTATGGGTTGCTTTTACAAAATGAACTGTTACAAAGAACAGAAAATGTAGTTGCATTTCCTCCAGAAGACCCTGTCATACAGCCTGCTGGCAGATGAATCAATACCTTGTCCAAAGACCAGGAATAGTGAATTTTGCCTCGTCAACACTAAGCGATCTGTGAAAGCATTAAGGAGCAGCTTCGTAGTTGCTTGTTGCAAGAAGAAAGATTTGGTTCATTATGCTTTATGCTGTGGAGAGGAAAGAATACACTCTCCTTCTCCTCTGGTACTCCTGCAAAGCTAAGGGAAAAAGGAAATAAAAGGATGAAGTAGTTTTCACTGCTGCAACTATCTCTAAATGTTCCCCTTTTGCCAAGCAGCCTCTCTCCTACGTATATCCTAAAGCTCTACAGGAAGAGGCGCACAGCAGCCTAGTCAATCAATTTTCAGGCTCTTTGAACAAGTCCTAGAAAAACAGAGACAACTCATAGCCTGAGCACAGTGAAAGAAAAAAAGTTTGAAAGTGCTCCAATTTACAGCTGACACTTGTTTTGGCAAGTGTGGCAAATACCCAAAACAGAAGGATTCTTTCCCAGAATACCAGTAGTCCTTACTAGGGAAGGGAATTCTTTCATCATTCCTGGCATGTGGGTATTTTTCCTGATGAAACTAGCCCCATTCTGAACGCACACTGGCTCAGGATTCAGGTAGCCAAGCCCAAGTGAGATTACTCTGACAGTTCATTGTTGTGGGAGTC